TTATTTCATCCCTTCTCTTTTGCCAACTTGTACTTCACATATTGATTATACTACATTCGGGTATATTTTATCCTCACATTCTGAAGTCATTTCCAGATAATTCTGTACTTCTTTACATTTTTGTTAATATTTGTTGGTTTTAACTTTTTTTAATTTTATACTAATTTATTTGTAAAGTTTATAAATTTCATCTACACTGTTTTTCACTCTGGATATTTCCCCTTTACATTTCACATTATTTTTCTTTTCTTTACAGCTAGTATTAGAAAATTTATTTCTATGATGTGACATATAATAAATATTACAGGCTTCTTGGCTGTATAGTCACTACCATAACTACTCCACTTTGGTTTTTTAGCATGAAATCAGACATAAGTGATATGCAAATGAAAATGAATGTGCATTATTGGATTCCAAGAAAAGTTTATAAAAACACGTGTTAGCTTATTTTGCTTCATTGGACACAGACTGATGATCCCTGGAATATAAACTCTAAGAGAAAAGGAGTTTGTTCTTTTTCTACTACTCAGGCCTAATCTATACTGATTTCATATAATACATGTAGAATATATATTTGGTGACTCAATCAATGCATAGTATTTAGAGTTTAGATCACCCTTGCAGAGTGAGTATGAAATGACTGTAGAATTCAATAATTTTTAATTCAAGTCAAGAATAATCCTATACGACAGTCATGTGACTGCAGAGTTAAGGTTGCAGAATCTTTTCCCAGACAAGTTTAGCCCAGGAATTAAAATAAACTTAGGCCTCTAGGTGATACTAGTCAAAAGCTAAAGCTAAAGACATCTATAGGGAGTCTTAATGAGAGAATCAAATAAGGAATTTGACTGGTTAAGATGTCTAAATAGTCATGATTATTATATTTACATAACTGCTTAAACATATCACTGCACATTTTCTGGCTTAAACAACACTATTTATTATTTTACGGTACTATCAGAATACGGTTTTCACTGAGTTAAGATCAAGATATTAGCCAAGATCATTTCTTTCTGGAGCCTTTCTTATATTTTCGAGTTTCTAGAGGCTACCTACATTCCTTGATCCATGGTTCCTTTTGTTCCTTTTCCAGACCAGAAGTGTTACACTTCCCTGACAATTCTTCACAGTCACTTCTCACTTTGAACATAATCTAGAAAGATTCTTTACTCTCAAAAATGCATATGATTAGAATGGGCTCACTCAGCTAAGCATATGTTATTCAAACAAAGAGAAAAATTTTTAAATTTTACAGAGAATTTTAATTACTGAAGAAAAAAAAACATTCCTTCTTTCCAAATAGGCAATCATGTCTGAATTTCCATTATTAGTTTTTTGGTTGGTGTGGTTTGTTTTTTTGTTTTCTGTTTTTTGTTTTTTTTTCAATTAAGTATCAGCCTTATGCTGCAGAATTGAAGGTTATAAACTCCTTTACTCTCTGTAGTTCCTTCTACCAATTCTTGGCTTTGGCAAAACAAGACAGATGCTTCATTGAACACTAAGAGTGGCAGAAAGAATTATTGGACGTAACAGTTTTTAAAATATAACTTGTTGTTATGTGCCGTCGAGTCGCTTGTGACTCATAGCAACCCTATGTATAAGACCCCTAAACCCTGCTCTATCCTGTGCCAACCTTACTATCTCTGACACACCCACTCTCATTGCCCCAATCACCAAATTGATACATGTCATCGAGAGTCTTCCTCTTCTGCGCTTTCCCTCCACTCTCCCAAACATGATGTCCGTCTCCAAGGAAAGATCCCTCCTTGCAACATGCCCAAAACATGTCAGATGAAGCCTCAGAATCCTTGCCTCCAAGGAGCATCTGGTTTAACACTCTCCAGGACAAACCTGTTTGTTCTCCTAGCAGTCTTTGGTATATTCAACACTATTCTCCAACATGAAAGCTGAAAGGCTGTTATTTTTCTATCATCCCTATTGCTCTCCAACGCATAGTACACAATTGCTAAGACAATGGTCCAGATCAGGCACACCTTAGTCTTTAGCCTGACATTGTTGCTCTTCAGTACTCTGGAGAGGTCACTGACACTTAAATTTCCCAATGCAATTTGTCTTTTGATTTCCTGGCTGCTGCTGCCAAGAGTGTTGACTGTGGAGCCAAGAAAACGAAAACTGTTAACTATCTCAATTTCTTCTCTCTCCACCATCCATAATGATGCTTCCAATTTGGCCCAGTGGTGAGAATCTTTGTTTTCCTGATGTTGAGCTTCAATCCACATTGAAGGCTGCAGTCCTTGACCTTCTGCAGCAAATGCTTCAGGTCCTCCTCAGTTTCAGCAAGCAGGGTTGTGTCATCTGCATAACGCAGGTTGTTGATGATTCTTCCACCAATCCTGATGCCACATTCCTCCTCAAACAGCCCAGCATCCCTAATGATCTGTTCTGCATATAGACTGACAAGGTATGGAGACAGAATACATCTCTGGTGGACACCCTTCCAATTTTGAACCATGCAGTGTCTCCTTGCTCTGTTCTGACGACTGCCTCTTGGTTCAAATATAAGCTTCACATAAGCACAATCAAATGTTCTGGAATTCTAAAAATGATAAAAGTAATAGTAATCTAAATAAAAAGTAATAGTAATAGATTACTAGTAATATTAATTATTGTTGTGTTGTTGATTGCTGTCGCTTCAAGCACGACTCATAGTGACCCTATTGACAATGGCCTGAAGCCCTTCTATAACAATAGTCATTTATCAAAGTTCATAGAGTTTAATCTGTTGGCTACAGAATCTTTTGGCTGAAGATTATGGGTTAAAATACATCCAATGCATATATTGATGATGCACTAAACATGACATAGAAATGAATGAAACAAATTATATTAGGTAGAAATAAAAACCTAATTGAATTTACAAAGTTGTCTAGAATGAAGATTATACTCTAAGCTTAATATGGAAACACATGCAAACTTTACAAGTGATAAAGAGAGATCATTTCCATCTTGGCTCTAGGAAAGTAGAAATAACTTTTAAAATCTTGGTGAGTTCTGGTGGCCTAGTGGCAAGAAGTTTCACTGCAATCCCAGAGGTGTGCTGTTCAAATCCACCAAATGCTCTGCTGGAGAAAGAGGGACAATCTCCTCTTGTACCAGTCAGATCTTATCTGATGGTACACAGACACACAAATAATAATAATAAAGAAATAAAATAAAATTTAAAAATCTTATAAAACTAAATTCAAACCTCTGTGTCTCCCCTTATTATAGGAAGCTCTGATGTCAGTCTATAGAGACTTGTTCTGCTAACTCAGTAGCCACACTTTTCTTAAATGAAATTTTTATTTTACACTGGTTTACTTACAAAGTCTGTATACATTGTTTTAACACTCAATCTTTCCCCTTTCCTTTACCTACTCCTCCTTCCACCCATCAAATTGTGTGATCCTCTGATTAAGCCCTTTCCCTCCCTTCCTCATCCGTCTGCTCCCCTCCCTGCCTTGGATCCTCATACACGTTCTACCACAATGATATACCATCTTACTCCAGTAGCAGTGGCCAAGTTTAGCAGAGCAGGATGGAGTGAGATAGGAACTCTTATACATTGTTGGTTAAATTGTAAAATGGTACAACCACTCTCTGGAAGGCAGTTTGGCGTTTCCTCAGAAAGTTGAACGCAGACATTCCATATGACCCGACTTCCACTGCCTGAAATATACCCTGAGAAAACGAGAACGGAGGCACAGATAGAAACTTCTACACCAATGTTCATAGGAGTATCATTTACCATCACAAGAACATGGAAACAGCCCAACTGTACAACAACAGTAGAACACATTGAGAAATTATGCTACATTTACAGGATAGAATACTATACAGCCCACAGGAGCAAGGATGTTGTAAATTACTACCTAACTTGGAAAGAGCAGAAGAACATTATGCTAAATGAACTAACTCGGTCCAATAAGGACCATAAAACCATTATTTTCTTTACAATTCTATCCACCAGCTGCTCTGCAGGAGAAAAGACAGGCAATTGACACTCTCCTACAGTATGATTTACAGCCTTGGTAATCCAGTGGAGGGTCAGCTATAAGGTGGAATTGACTGAGAAATGAGGAAGACAGAAAGAGAGGGAGAAAGAGAAGAGGGGAGGAGAGGTGATAGAAAAGAAGGAGAGGGGAGGGAAAATAGAGAAGGGGAGGGAAGAAACAGAGAGGAGAGAAAAGAGAAATTTTTTTGTGTGTCTTAGGCTTTAGTATTGTTACCAACACCTGAGTCTCAGTTCCTTCAACTCTAAAATGAAAATAATACTAGTAGTTACCTCATGCTGTTGTGGTGAAAATTAAATGAGATAAAAACATGAAATAAGATCACGTATATTAAGTGTTTAATGTCAAGTAGCTGCTCAACAAATATTAGTTATTCCAATTACATATTAATTGAAAGACACAGGCCACCTACAAGGTTAACAGAATATTTCAAATTCAGACATTTAGTTTTTCTAGGGATAGCTTGAAGGTATTTGCATTACAAAAAATAAGCCACAGAAGGAGAAAGCTGAAAAAGTGGAGTTAGCACATTGATAAATAGTTCTAAGTGAAAGCAATTTCAGCCTGAGAACCCTCAGGCTGTCTTCTCTCTCTTTGGGTGACTGTCAAACCCCAGAGATGTGGTGTCTTACAGCAACAGGCATAGAGACAAATTATGCTCTGGATAAGGTAGAGTTTTCCTTAACTACACTTGAAGTCCAGGTGGATGAACTTACTGTCAGAATAAAATCCAGGAAAGCTTGATAAATTGAAAGCAAAATACAAATTAAACCTTTTGTGTGTGTGTGTGTGTGTGTGTGTGTGTGCGTTCATGCACATGTGTGTGCACACAGCCCAGGTAAAACAGGTTTATGCATGGAAATCCACCCCTATCTTTCCATTCTAGTATTTATTAAATCAACCAGGCACTTTTCCAAGCCATTTCATTCTCCATTGCCCATTTATTCCACTTATTGAATCCTTGGGGGATCTCCAGAGAGCACCCACCAGTTGTGACGATCAGGCCTAAGGCTGCACAACTGTCTGTTAAGAAGTTGATAGCATAAGCTCCTTTCAGATCCATTGTGGAGTAGCTCTTTCTTCCTATTAACTTCTGGTGGCCACTGGCTTCAACAAACAGCTTAGAAGAGATATTAGTCAATTTGTGAGACTTAAATTTGAAATAATACAAGAAATATAATAAAACTAAGATATGTTCATAAGATAAAAAGATTAAATTTTGGCCTATACTTCAGTATCTTATAAAATCATGCTTGGATTTGTAATAGAATAGTTCATTTTATTATTCTTTTTATCTTTTTTAAATTTCATGGATTTCTTTTTCCATATACATTAACCAAACTAAAGAGTGTAACAGTCCTGGCTTTAAGTGAAACATGCTTTATTATATGCATGTAACAAACTGGAATTATAATCACATCTACCTACCTATTCATACAAAACTTGTCACTAACTTCATTTAAAAAATCACCCCTAATTAATCCCTTTGAGTTGTGGTGTTGGAGAGGAGCACTGAACACCCATGGACAGCCAAGAGAACAAACAGACATGTCTTGGAGAAGGTGCAGCCTGAGTGCTCTTTGGAGGCAGTAATAATGAGGCTTCACCTCACATACTTTAGACATCTTTCTAAGAGAGGCTATTCCTTAGAGAGGGATGTGATGCTGAGAAGGGTGGAGGGTTGGCAAAAGTGAAGAAGACCCTCGATGGGCAATCACCTCTCATGTGATTTACTGCCTCTGAAAACTTAATGTAGTTTCAGCTAAGAGTCTTTTATGACTTAATGGCACACAATAACAAAGCCACCAGAGCTCCACATGTATTAATACTAACTACTGTCAATTAACATATTAATACTCCAACAACTTCATCTTACTTGTATCCACAATCAACAGCCTTGGTACCAGCATTCAGAAAATCAGGAGACATATTGCACTGGAAAGTCTGTAGTTAAGGATCTCTCCAAATTACTGAGGAGTAATGATGTCAGTTTGAGGACTAAGGTGCAGGTACATCTGTTTTAGTCCACTATCTTTCCAATCACTTGCTATTCATCTGATAGCTGGACAATGAATAGAGGTGACAGAAGAAGAATTGATGCCTTTGAGCTGTGGTGTTGGAGAAGAGTATTACAATTCTATGCACGGCCAAAAGGACAAACAGATATGTCTTGGATAAAGTACAGCCAGAGTGCTCTTTGGAGGGAAAGATGATAAAGCTTCACCTCATAGACTTCAGGCATGCTGATAGGAGGGGTTATTCTTTGGAGAGGGACACGATGATCAGAAAGGCACAGGAGGAAGATTCTCCAACAGGTAGATTTACACAGTGACTGTCGCCATGGGCTCTAGTGTGTCAGGACATGTGAGATAAGACAAGATTCAGTTCTGCTGTTCCTAGGCCTCCTATAGGTTGTGCTCGACTCAATGGCACGTAACAATAAATCATGTATATGTGGAGGAAATAACTCAAGAAGCTGGGCCCTATGAAGAAAAATATGGCATCAACAAAAGTGAGAGACTCAAGATATTAATAAAACGATTTATTACTGATAATGTTGCTTTGGGTGTTGTTAGTTTGGTTAAACTATATATATATGACTATGTAAATTATAGAAATAAAAAGTTAATGGAACATCTTGTTGTGCATCTTTGAGTAGGAAATAACCCATAACAGACACTCCAGCAGGCTTTCAGAGGCAGTTAATCAAAGGGAAGTGATTGCCCATCCTTCTACCATGAAGCAGGTGGTGGCTTTGAATCCAATACCTTTAGGATTGCAGTGCAGCTTCTCTTATCACTGGGCCATCAAAGTTCCCTAGCAGCTAGGATGTGTTTTTCCAAGTAGTATAGTGCACATATGGAAATGTATCTTTGGAAACTTCTGTGACTATGATTCCATGGAGTAACCGAGTGCCTTGGTCTCCACAGGACAAGGCAGTGAGATGAAAGAGCGATTTAAGTTTGTTAACATCAATGAGGGGAGACAAGCCCCTCCCTATGTCTGACATCCTCTCCACAAATTTTAGACAAGGCAAAAATGTTTCTTTTCTCTCTGTCATCCTTTCTCTTCAACTGGCAGATGAGAACTTCACAGTGGAATAATTCAAAGTGAAGGAACCCATGGGTATGCAGCAACAACTTTGGAACAGTCCTTAAGCCATTTGATGTCACTGGAGCATTCATACACCATATATGCCCTTTTGCAGACAAATTCCCTGAATTCAAATGGATTTAAATTGCTCTATCCATTCTTTCTCCTGTCCCTGGATCCTGTTGGGACTATCTAGGACTGACCAAAGCAAATGCAACAATGAATGAATGAAAATCCAAAATCTCTGTAAATGTTCATTAAAATTAATTAAAAAAAACCACACACACACACACACACACACACACACACACACACAAAACCAGGCACTTCCATAGTTTGCACCAATGTCTCATGCCAGGACCTGATTAATCTAACATCCAATAGACTCATATTTCTATATCCCTTCATTAATGAATGCCTAACTTTTCCCAGGTTTATAATTTATTTATAATTTAGGATTTATAATTTTTGTTACATTTAGGTATTTATACCAAAAGAATATAGCTTAATGTGTCATACTTATTTGCTTAGCTTAATGTGTCATACTTTCTCCTGTCCCTCAACACACTTTGTCATATGTAAAATGTTTGTGGATTTATGCCTTATTTGACAAGGGAGTCTAATAACCTCTGAAAATAATATCAGAGACTAATTCATAGATGAAGATTGGACATCTATACACATAAAGAGACATTTAGCCCTAATGATGGAAATCAAACATTATCCCCAGTCGCATTACTTAAAACATTTTCAATTATGGAGGGAAAACAAGAATAAAACTGCCACATACATCTTAATGCTACAAAATGGTATAAACTATACATTTAATCTTTGCAAGTACTCAGTGTTCTGTTATACATTCCAAATTGGTTCATGCGGTTTGTAGAAATCAAATTCTGTTTGGCTTCTTGGACAAGTGATTTATGCCTTGCCATAACTATGGAAAGTAATATGCAGCACCATGGACAGAGTAGAATTGTTCCTTCCTGAGCTACAGCTGTGTTCCTGCTTTTTCTACCCACTCACTCCCCACCCGCCTTGCAAACACTCAGACACTTGTCTGTTTCTTAATTGCAGAAGGGGTTGTTATAGGCATCTTGAATGTTAACAGCCTATTTTAAAATGATGGGCATTGACTAAAAAAAAAGACTAGGGGAAATCTTAAGTACTTTTTCAGAGTTTAAAAATTGATACAACATAATTTATATAAAGACCTTCAGAAGCAGACTTTGTTATAATATAGATGAAAATGTGGGGGAGTGGAGGGACGATATAACATACAGAATATGTTAGATGAAGTCCTCTGAGCAGAAATTGGGAGGATGAGACTGACAGTGTTGTCATGGTAAATGCATCTAGTTGAGGGACACTGGTGGAAGGGAAATTTACATTTAGAGTAGCAACATAAGTTGTGGGAATTTGGTTTTATGGATGGTAAAGGAATTCTTAATGTCCCTCTGTATAGAAATACAGGCATATGTTAGTGATAGTACAGGTTCAGTTCCAGAACATAACAAAAAAGCAAATATTGCAACAAAGCGAATCACTTGTTGTTTTGTTTTGTTTCCCAGTGCATATAAAAGTCATGATTACGCTCTCCTGTAGTGTATTAAGTTTTCAATAATGTTATTAAAAGTTTGAAATATGGTGAAGCCCAAATGTGACACAGAGAATACAAAGGGAGCACATGCTGTTAGAAAAACGATGTCTTGCCCAATGCAATAAAATGAAATGCAATAAAAGGAGAGTGTGCATGTAGTTAAAAATCCCAAGATCCTAATTAGTTCTCTGTCTTGAGAAGTCAGAGAGTTTAAGATAATCACATATTGCTTTTGCACAGTGTCTTAGATTTACGAATTATAAAAATATTGTAGTAAATGGCCCAAAGGTGAATCTGCGAACTTAAAAAATGTTCACTTACTATCTGCATGGCCACTGCCAAAGAGATCATTTGTTTCTTAGGCCTTTGCCCATTTATTTGTGAGCATGTGCGTTTGTTAAATAATCACCCATCATTTACAATGCTTTTGGGAACTGCAACAGGAACTTAGTTTACAAGAATTGCCAAGGTAAAATGAAAACCTTATAAGAATTCGTAACTGCTGGAAAATGCAAGAGTAAGGTATGTCATTTGGACCGAAGAGAGAAATAAAGATGTTTTCTCCTGCTTTATGCTTAAATTTTCAACTTTACACAAAAATGCATGTTGTATTAGGTTTTCACAGGGTTATGTAATCTTCAGCTGCATATCCAACAATTTTCTGGATAGTTAAAAAAGTTCTGTTCCTAACTAAAATAATTTCTTTCTTTTAGAGCCTTGCTTTCACTAACAATACTTTTTATTTTTGCTTATTTTATCTTTAATACATATTTATATGAGATTTACTTGAGTTTCTTTTAGTTAGAATGGTAATAAATGACAATGTATTATTAAGGAAAATATTTTCAGTTAGATAGGAGCATATTTGATTAAAGTATAAGCTACTATAAATTAAACCTATAATTATAATTGTTAATTTGGTTATTTGCTTCTACAATTTATAGTATAAATTCTGTATATTATAGATAATGTTCTGATTTTACAAATTGTAATGTAAAATCAATTTTACAAATTGTAATGTAATTGTATGTAGTCAATTCCAACTCATAGCAACCCAATATAATGGAGGGGAATTGCCTTATAGGATTTTCTAGGTTTTCTAGTTTTTAAATAATCTGATTCAAATTGGCCAAGATAGCAGATTGTCAAGTTTTTCTCCTGCAGAGCAAAGTTGGTTTTAACCGCCAAACTTTTGCATAGTACCTCAATACTTAACCATTGGAGCACTAGGAGTCCTCAGTTTTACAAACAGTTATTTTATTAAAAACACTATGAACTTTGAGAAATAATGATATTTCTAGAAAGGCTTTAGGTCTTTTGTTTATAGGGTCACTATAAGTTGTGCTTGACTTAAAGACAATAAACAATAA